TGACGTGAAAACAAATGACGAAAATGTGATCGTCCGCCAAAATGTGGGCTGATATAACAACCTGTACCTAAAGGTAGCAGGAATATGTGGTTCTGGAGCTAACACACACAAACGACTGATTTTGTTCTTTTACTTGAGTAAAACGATGATCCCTCGACGGGGAATTGAACCAGAGGGCCAAATTTGGACAACAGCAGTCGGGAGCAGAACCACAACTGCTACACACCCATGGGGATGCGTCATTTCCGACGAGCGCCAATTCGTCACCGTGAGAGTCTCGCTATTTCCATTCTCGCTATTTCTGGCTGATTTTCGGAGCTTCATCGTTCAGGCCCGACATACACATTTTCTATTGGATGGAAGGATTCAAGGAATTGGTTTAAATAAAGATGGAAAGCAAAACTCGGACATTCCGACGGAACATCCGTGCGCAGTGACTCACGAATGATTATGGACGGCCCGACACGTAAGATTCATGACGTTTCGTGGCACACAGCTGTTGTTTATTGTTTTTTTCTCCCTTTTCTACCCTCATCCAAGTCGGACGGAGACTCTCCTCTTTCTGCGGGAGCGCGTTGACGAGCCTTGACTGTCGGGGACTTCACTTTTGGCCATCTTACCTGCTCGGACGACTAGCTTTAATTCTCGCAGTACCTTCTCTATTCACCAGGAGCAACTCATACAATGTCCTCCAACGACGAGGAATACGGACACGACTTACACCAGGGAAAGAAACGTCGGGTCCAGCGCGCGTGTGATGTCTGTCGCCGGAGAAAGAGTACGTAGCCTTTCTCTGTTAGTCCACAGGTATATTGATGGATTTTCAGGTCGTTGTAAGTCCTCCCTCGAAGCTGAGGTCCCTGTAAAATCAATTAATTGATCGGTACAGGCGACGGGTCTCAGACGCCCGGGGATAAATGCTCCATTTGTTTCGACGCAGATCTAGACTGCACCTATCTTGTAGGCGCTACGGTCGGTCTCACTCATGCTCTACATCACCATAACTAATCCAACCCAGAGGCGCGCCCCGGCAAAAAGGTAGGGCTGCTCTTGCATTCAAGGACGTGCTGACAGCATGCACGATCAGCTATGTCGAATCGCTCGAGACACGGCTGGAGCACTCCGAGGCGCTCGTGCGCCAGCTGCGCGGTGAGCTCGCCAAGGTACACTTCAACAAGTCGTCCGCGTCAACCAAGGAATCCATCTCTTCCGGCAGTCTGCCCGACAGCACTCCGGGGCTAGAGCCGATGAACCCGAAAGGGTACAATCCATTTCTGTACGTCCTGCAGACGGCGCTCCGCAGCCTGTCCGCCCCCGCACCGCCCCCGCACGCAGACGACCTGGTGCATGTCGAAATAATGCGCAAGGTGGGTCACGTCTTTGCACATACCCCAACCCTTTTTGGTTGTCTATGACTAACCCATTTCACCCAGGTCGAGCAGCTCTCCGTCGGCGCCCCGCCCGAGCGGCACTTTATCGGCAAGAGCAGCGGCGCCGTGCTCCTCACGACCGCGATCGACCTCAAGGCGGACGTGCGCCGCGTGGAGCGGCGCGCGGGGAGCGAGAACGGACTTGCGACCCCACGGGCGGCGAACATGGGTACGCCCGGAAGTACTGGAAGCATGTCGAGCGGAATCCCAGACGCGGAGGCGTCGAACGACGGGGAGGGAGACAAGGAGGGGTCCTCCCGGGGGCTGCCGTGGACGTCTCGGCGCCTGCATTATTGGACGCTCAAGCCTGTGCGTCCCTTCTCTCACTTCTACTCCACTTCCCTTCCACTTCCTCGACCGACTCGGTACGGGGACAATGGATTTTGACCCCTTTTTTCAGTGGGAGATCACGGCCCCGCAGATCCATTCGTACTCGTTCCCCTCGCCCGACCTCGCGGCGCACCTGATCGATCTGTACTTCACGCGCGTGAACATATACCTGCCGCTCCTCCACCGGCCGACGTTTGAGCGGGGCGTGCAGACGGAGCTGCATCGTAGGTAAGCGCCCTCTTCTACTTCATTGCTTGCTCTCGTCCTGCTCCTTTCCTTACTTCTCGTTCCTTTTTTTGCTCGTTCCTCATTCCTCCTTGCGTTGGGTGGATTTCGTTCTCTCTTCCCCTTTTTTGCTGACGGTGACGGTAGGGACGACAACTTCGCGGCGATCCTGCTGCTAGTATGCGCGGTGGGCTCGCGGTGGAGCGACGACCCGCGCGTCGTGCCGCCCAGCGGGACGGAGGGCGTGGGCGCGGCGAAGACGGGCACGGGAAGGCTGGCATGTGGGTGGGGGTGGTTTGATCAGGTGTGTTGTTTCGCCTCACATTTTCCTTTGGCTCGGGGAGATTCTAAGAAATTGACGTGTCTTCCTCGTAGGTCCCGCTGGTGGGGAAACATATATTCGGGCAGGCGACGCTGTATGATTTGCAGTACTATTGCGTGCGAATTGAGGTTTCCTTTGAGTTGTGAGGGATCGAGCTGACCGATGTATGCAGCTCGCGGTGCTGTTTCTGGAAGGGTCGTCTGCGCCGCAGGCGTGCTGGACACTCATTGGTGTTGGGCTGAGGCTTGCGCAGGTATGTTCATGTGCTGTGTGGACGTTGGGACGCGCTAATGAATGTCAACTCCAGGACGTCGGCGCGCACCGACGCGACTCGGGCGTCGAGCACCCCTCCGTCGAGCGCGAGCTATGGAAGCGCGCTTTCTGGGTGCTCGTCTACATGGATCGCACGGCCAGCGCCGCCATGGGACGCCCGTGCGCTATCCAGTACGACGAGTGCGTCTTTCCCTTTTCTCCCCCTTGTTTCTTGTGGTATCTGACAGGCGGTGTATGAAGTTTCGACATCGACTTGCCGGTGGAGTGCGACGACGAGTACTGGGAGCACCCAACGCACCCGTTCCAACAACCACCCGGCGTGCCCTCGCGCGTCGCGTTCTTCAACGTCCTCCTCAGGCTGAACCATATATTGTCCTTTAGCCTCAAGATGCTCGTGCGTCCCTGCCCTCCCGGTTCGCTGGATGGGAGCTGAGGTAGATGTGTGTTTGTGTAGTACTCGCTGAGCAAGGTGCAGGTGATCTTCTCGATCTACGACGCGTGGGAGGAGGAGGCTGTGGTGGAGCTTGATTCCGCACTGAATAGTTGGCGGGATGGGATGCCCGAGCATCGTGCGTTTCTTTCTTCTCCTTTCGTTTAAAAAGTCCGTCGTTTCAACCGTTGCTGATTGCACCCCGGTAGTGCGCTGGGACCCGACTCGCGCGGACCCGGTGTTCTTCGACCAGAGTGTGGCGCTGCATTGTGCGTATTGTCAATTGCAGATTCTGATACACCGGCCGTTTATCCCGATGGTGCGCAAGTCGGCACCGACGGTAAGTGTTTTTTTGTGTTGAATATGGTTTACCGTGCCCGATACTGACGTGGTGTTTTTTGGACGCAGGCGCTACCTTCGCTGGCAATATGCACGAGCGCTGCCCGGGCGTGCGCCAACATGGTGGATGTTCAGAGACGAAGGAAGGGGAATCTGCCCGTCGTTATAAATTTGGTGCGTGTATTCGTTCAAATTTTTTTGGGTCTTGCGACTGAAGCACTGCTCAGCCGGCGGTGTTCATGTCGGGCATCATCCTACTGCTGAATGTTTGGAGCGGGAAACGCACGGGTCTCGTCCCCGATCCGAGCCGCGAAATCGCCAATGTGCACAAGTGCATGGAGGTTGTGCGGCTGTGCGAGGACCGGTGTGTAGCCCTATCAAGCCCTTGTTTCTCCGCAACTCATGTCCTGCGTTACATAGATGGCAACATGCCGGCCTTTTTTGGTTCGTCGCTGTCGAGATACGTCCTCGAGGAAATCGCTGATTCATGACATGATATAGGGACATCCTCGCAGAATTAGCCTCCGTTGGCCAGCTGCCCCTCCCGAACCACGCAGCCGCAGCCAACACTCCCACCGCCCCCTCGCTGCTCCGCGGCCAACACTACCCGTATGGTCACGTGGAGCCCATACCGCCCGAGGCGCAAGCGCACATCCTCCTCGGCCCGCGCGGCCTCCGGCAGACGTTCGAACGCCCCATCCACGACGCGCAGTTCCGCGCGCCTTATGCGCCCACGCCGACATCCTTTGCAGGCGGCGTCGGTGGGGGCCCCGGGACCTTTGGCCCTGAGCCGATGGCGCCGAGCACCTTCGCTCCGACGCCGGCGCCCGATACGTGGTTTCCGCCAGAGGACCCATTCGTGGGTATGAATAGCCATGAGCTGGATAGTATGATGAGGCTGATTGATAGCGATACGATTGCGATGTGGACGAATGCGCCTACGGGGTTCGAGTGCGTTGTTCTTATGTTCTTGTCTTTGGTGGGTATCTGATATTTGTGCGCGGCAGGGTCGACGACTGGGGGACATATTTCAGTAATTTTAGCGAGATTATGCAGGGGAAGCAGCAGGGGATGATGATGCAGGGGGATATGGGGATGAATGGGCATGCTAATTGAACTGAATAGGAACTTGGTTGTTTATAGATTTCTCTCTCTTCTTGTCGGTACGATATCATAAATAACTCCTCGTTTCCCCTCTTTATGCCTCAGCTTGCCCACGGCATTATCTGCCTGCTTGCTGGTAGATTTTCACCCTTCTTTGGGGGGGGGGGGATATATTATACTCGCGTGGTCCAAATACCTGAACGACGAGTTTACTGAAGACAAATATGGACTACTGTATGGGTGTTTATCCTTACAAGTAGTTACACAATGCCAACAGAACACACATCTGTTCCAGGGGTTTGAGAATGCAAGACGCTGGCAATTTGTGGGCTGGCTGGCCGCAAAGGGCAGGACCTCTGGATAAAACCCTGTGGGACCTGACCACTTTGTGTGTACGATATTTATTCCCGCTTTCATAATTTCACCTTGACGAGTCGGCGTGCGTGTTCCAGACGCTCTCCTTCTCTTTTCTCCCTTCGTATTTCCTTCAAATTTGGCTGCATTCATTTATTAGATGATCCAATAAAAACCAGTGCGAAAATCTCCATGCACCAGCGAGGAATCGAACCCCGTTTCGCCGTAGTACGCTACATTCAATTTCATATCACAGGTGCGGCGTGTGTACCATACACCACCGGTGCTCCCCCTCCATCTTTCAACTGTGTTATGTGCGATACATCTTTGGTATTCACTCATCGAATGGAGGCAAAACGAAGCCAACTAGAGACCACGCACCCCGCGGGGAATCGAGCCCCACTGGCTATATTCAACTGGGACGGTGGCGGCATGCACGCTCTCCTTTTATTTTCTCCGCCCGTATTTCTTTTAAATTTCGCTGGATTTACTTGTCAGAAGATTCAATAAAAAAAGCGATTTTGATAGTATTGATGCAGCAAGCAATCGAACCCCGTCTCGCCGAGGAACTACGTCACCATGTGAACGGGACGGCGTGTGTGCCCATACACCACCGGTGCGCTGTCCTCTGTCCTCATACTTTCAACTTCAGTAAGCTCGACGCGTCTGCGGTACTCCGAGGGAAGCTAACGGAGAAAAAAAAGGTGAATCGACGGGAAAATGCACCGCAAAAAACCAAGCCTAACATCCAACATGCTCTGACTTTGCTCATGTCAACTCCCGTGTATGTATTCCTCTGTGCGGCTCAATTTGTAGCTGCGCCGTGCCAAAAAGGAAGATTGGCGAGGGAGGACTATAAGCAGAGGATTGTTTCAAGCGAGTAGGGAAACTATTTGCGCATCGGTCCAGGTTCGCACGCAGCACTCGGAACCGTGCTGAATATATCCCGCCCCAGACACGGACGCTGGACCCACAAGGTATAGCATAACGCTCGAGCAGAGCTACATACATAACAACAGGCATAGCCAGACTAATAATGTGCGTAGCGTACAGTTAAGAAGATGAAATTACTCGCGAACGGTGAAGAGGTGGTGAGCATGGGTGAATACTTGGTCGAAGAGACAATAATTCGCCAACAATGACTTTGCGATCACAGCCCCGAGGAGCCCTCGCCCGTGTCGATCCGGCCCACATTCGAAGTGCCCGCGTTTGAGCTGCTTCCGCCGCCAGTGTTGAGCTGCCCGATAATGTCCGACTGCAGGTGCATCGGCACGAAGATGACCTTGCTCTGCCCCGACTTTGCCATGTGTTGCACTGTCAGAAACATATGAGTAACCGAACGCGGATGGAGAAAAGAGGTAAGCCACGCACAAGCTTCGAGCTGCCGGATCTGCATCGCCGCCGGACTCGCGAGAATATCCGCCGCCTGCCGCATAAGCTTCGCCGAGTCGACCTCCGCGCGCGCCGCGATGACCTTGCTCTCCCCGAGCCGCTTCTGCTGCGCCGCGCTGCTCAGACTCGCGCTGACGTCCGCGGAGAAGATGATGTCCTTGATGAGGATGCCCTCGATGGCGACGCCCCAGTGGTCCGCGACGTCCGCGACGATCTCGGCGATCTCGAACGCGATGTTCTCGCGCTCGGTGACGACGGACTGCACGGCGCGCGCGCCGACGACTTGGCGGAGGGTCGTCTGCGCTCGCTCGATGAGGGCTTTGTGCAGGTCGCTGATGCCGAAGGCGGAGCGGTAGGGGTTGTTAATTTGGTAGTAGATGACTGAGTCACTGCGGGCATAATGTAAGTTCATGTGAGAGTCCAAAAAGCCCGACAGCGACGTACATCTCGACGTTGACATTGTCGCGTGTGCTGGGAGAGGCATATCGTTAGTGAGTGAAGGAATGACATTCAGAGGATAGTTGGACGTACATGACGCTCTGCCGCCCTATCGGGATAATCTGGATTTTGACGTCCACGATGCGGAGCGACTCCGTGCAGACGTTGACCTGGACCAGGCCTGGATCGACGGATTTATAGAACTGGCCGAAGCGTGAGACAAGCCCCACGGAGCCTGGGAGTGGGAGTGGGTCGAGTTTTGAGTGTCTTGTTGCTTGGAGGACGGAATGTGAATGAAGGACAGACCTTGCTGCACTTGACGGAAGGGATTGGGGAAGGGGCAGCAGGGGACCATACCGCACACGCCTACACATGCTCCGAGGGCTTGAAGCATGGTCCCGTAGAAACCGTGCATGACCTGGAGGAGAGAAACGACATCCCTCAGTGCAGCACTGGGTGATGAAACGGCCTACTAACCTCGTGGGTTCCGAGGTCTTGAGCATATGACGGCTTGCAGGACGTGAGAACGCAATGGCAAGATGGATCGAGTGCTACATACCTGCATCTCCTCCTTCTTCAGCGGCTGGACTTTTATCATATGGTGGTCAGCACCAGGCACACGTCGTACACCTCCGGCAGCTGAGAACGATTTCAGAACTAGTGCGCCAGGTGGGATAAGGGACTCACCAGTGCCAGGCTCTTCATTGCGGTCGACACCCTTCCCCCGAGAGTTGGAGGACTCGGTATGCGACGGCGCACGATCTTTGAGCTCGAATGTCGTGGGGGCCATGAGAGGAGGAGCACGAGAGAACGCGCTTCGAAGGCGGGCTTATAAGTGACATTCCGCAGTACTTCGAGCTTAAAATAGACGTGTGGCAGCCCGTCCAAAAGCGAGCGTGATGCTGTAGACGGACGTCGGGCGTGGGAAATAAGGCGCAACACATGATCAACAGCTTTGGTCCCGCGGCTTACCCGGAGTTACCCGGGTTCCCATTCACCTTGAGATAAAACGCTGCCGTGCTGGTATCGAGCGAAATTCCAGAGAACTTGTCAAGGAGTACGCAGGGGGTGGTCTTCCGAATCTTCAAGTTACGCGTGGATAGCGCCTAATCGGCGCCGACTCCCGAATGGTGGCACCTGAGTTCCGAAAGTTAATACCTCTTGACTTGCTGCGCAGTTAAAAATCAGCTGCGCACACTGAAAGCTATGGGCAAAACGCATCGCGGCGTTCATGATTATCCGAATTGAGGAACAAGTCGGGTGCGCGACTTTCGCCAGACCTACCACAGAACGACGGGACTGCGCACATTCCCGTCTACCGCGGAGGTTTGGAGCAGTCCCGACTTTGATGGGCCAATACATGAGGTTCGCTGCGGGGATTCAACGAATGCACAAAAATAGAGCATGGCTCCACCAAGTCACTCGCTTTTGGAGCCGTCCTGTTGAGTATCACCAATCAATTGTCTGCTTGGGATTGATGCACACTTTACCACCAACCAGGGCCTACCGGGGTATTTTATCGTTCTTGTATGGCCAAAGGCTGCAAGAGCATACTAAAAAGGAATCAAAATGCAATAAGGAAGGACTATCACGATGCGGACCCGGCAGCTTTTTACAAAGCTTGAGGAGCGACGAGCAGTTGGAAAATAGAGATTCCAGTCGCAGCTGTAACTTGTATTCGGTAGGTTTCGTTGCATCGGACGGCATTCAAATATCGAGACATCAACATTGATTTTCGGCAAAAATCGACGGACCCGAACAGAATGATGCGTATGCATAGCGCAATTGAAGACGATAGAGATATGGAGCAGCGCTAGGCGAAAAACATGTAGGCATCAGGAATTAGGGGAAGAATTGACAGCAATGTCGCCAGGTCCAAGGTCTCCCAATCCAATGTGTAGAAGGAGGTGGACTCGATGAAACGAAATTTGCGCACCAAGTGTCGAACGGCTGTCTGGGAACTGGGTGGAGTAAAGTCGGCGTAAATCGAAATATTCTTCAATGTGGGAGATTTATCGCGCAGAGTGGAAAGGAGGGTAAGAGAGCTGTATATTATCGCGGTCGACGGATAATGGAGGAATGTGTGAGGAGTCAAAATCAGAGTGATTCCAACGGAAATCGGGCAGTGTGGAAAGAAATCGTTGGGGAAGAGAGACTGATCGTCGAGAGAACGCGGCGCAACGAAATCGAAGAAATGCAACAGAGGGACTTGAGGCGACTTGCATAAAGTCGATGTCGAGTCCAATCTTGGGGAAAAAATGAGCGCAGGAGCCGCTACTGCGTATGAGAGGGTGGTAATGCCGATAATCTAGGTACCCACTCACCATTTTGCGGCGCCACAAACCCGCGGAGCGTTCGATGACCGAAAGATCCGAGGGTAAGCAACGAAGAAGATGGTATAGATTCTGCTTGCATCCAACGCGGGATCCTAAGGGTCGTGCAGGTTCTGGTGAGCGCGGCGAGGATCCTGCATTCTACGTAGTCCTGGACTCCCGGCTCTTGCGAGGGATCGAGGTGTGCGAGTATCTCTGGAACGGTTTCTACAATTTTCAAGCAGTGATACACCGCGTCTGGCTTCGAAAGGACTCCGGGCTCTGAAGCTCGCTGTAAATAACTTGGTAAGGCTCCAACCATTTAGTTTACGTTTACGGGCGAGCGTAAATTAAACGGAAATAGTTGGAAAACAGTTTAAAACCGTTTATAAACGGTATTTTAATAGCATTTTTGCGCACCATCCCTTTCTTTAGGATGTCTGAGTGGAATAGTGGTCAGGGGTAGACTTCTAAGGATTCCCATTCTTTCAGGACTGCAGGTGTAAGGTTAAATGGTGGGATGAGGGCGGGATGCCCGACAACTGCCCGCCATCAGTCATGTGCGTAACTGCTGAATTGGGAAGCAGTTGCTGCCCTTACCCAACCTCCACACTGAGACCTGGCTGTGTTACATTGGGAGGTGGGATCTCATTTTAATCCCATATCCTCGTATTGTGGGTCATATTTATGGATGGAAACCCACCATACAACCCATCCCAGGTCACTGAAAATTTGAACCGTTTAAACCGTTTATTTACTCTCTGTTTACTGTTTACAGGGGTCCGTAAACTAAACGAAAATATAAACGGTTCTTACCGTTTAAAAACGGTTATAAATGGAAACGGTTGGAGCCTTATTTAAACTTGGGTGGAAAAGCCTAAAAAGCTCGAGAGCGGGCGGTCAAACCGACAGAGTTGTGGGTTGAGGTGGATTTGGCTGCACTGGAGGGCGCGAATGCGAATCTTGGTTGAATCACAGAAGGAAACGAGGAGTTTGTAGCGAAGAGAGGCGAGGAGCTTTGGCCATGTTAGGCATCAATGACACCGCCACCTGAGCTTCGGCAATCATGCCGATTGTTAACGAGCCAATTACTAGGTTCATCAATTTCCGAAAATTTTCGTCCGAGAAGACCCATAAATTTTGTT